AGTTCTAGGCCATCTGATACCAGTTTTACAACAACAACAAAGGAACTGCTTATGTTGATTCTTTACTCAGTCAAATCCCTTTGCAACAAGTTGGAATGCAGTTCTCTTACTGAAACTGGTAATGGATCTGGTGAAGTGTTATCAGAGGCTGCAAATGTCAGCTTGGGACTGTTACCCATTCTATGCAACTACATTAGAGTTGCTGATTATTGCACCGTCTGCCTGACTACTATTGATGTAGTAGTTAAAAGTTTCTCGACATCTGCAACATGGTTCCCTATTATCAAGAATCATCTCCAACTGCAACATATTGTCCATAAACTTCTAGACAGGAACTCCTGTGCAGATGTACACATTATATTAAAGTTTCTTTTAACAATTGCATGTGCCAGAGAAGGAGCAGAGATGCTAATGAGTGCTGGAGTTTTTGCATATTTACGGGAGTTACTGGCTGACTTTGCTGATGGTGGACCATATTCAGTTGTTCAGAACCAGAGGGCTCTTTCAGACACATTTAAGACCAATGAAAAACCTCAGTCCATATGGGGACTGGGCTTGGCAGTTGCTACAACTATTATTCACTCTTTGGGAGAAAGTTCAGGTGTTGTTGATTATGTGATGGCTTACCTGATTGTGGAGAAAGCAAATACAATATATAATTTTCTTCGTGCTCCTGATTTTTCTTGCGATGATCGTGAGAATAAAAAAGTGGTTTCCATCAAAACACGTACTTCATTATATGCTCTTAGGGAGACAGAGAATATACTGACTCTAATATGTGTGCTAGCTAGGTATCAAAACTCATGGAATAAGGTTATGAATGAAATGGAGTCAGAGTTACGTGAGAGATGTATCCATCTACTGGCTTTCATTAGCAGAGGAACACCACTTCACCATGGGGAAGCACCTACAAAAAGTGCCTCCTTCTTGTGCCATCCATCCCTTAGGGACGAGTTTGAGTGGCAAAAGATGCCATCATTTATCAATAGCAGAAAAGGTTGGTTTGCTCTATCATCTCTTGGTTGTGACCTCAGCCCAGGTTTTTCTTCAAGGATGGTGACAAGTATCGTGGACAAAGGTCAATCAAATGGAATTGTTACTCTGGATCCCCAGACACATTTTTCTGATGTTGTGGCTGTTCAGATCTACCGGATCACATTTCTTAATCTGAAGTTCTTATGTATACAAGCCGAGGGAGCTGCTGAAAGGGCACAAGATTTAGGTTATGTTGATCTTGCTCATTTTCCAGAGTTACCAATGCCTGATATCCTACATGGCTTGCAGGTAACGATACATAAAGTATACCTTTTCTATTCTTTTTTTTTTTTGAAAATCAATAACTTAATTATTATTAATAAGGGTAACCAGAAACATAACAATCAAAAGCCGAAACATTACAATCACACCGTTCAATGCTACACTAGGGTGAGACAAAGAACAAAAAAGCCATATAAAAGCTATCATGTTCGCTAACCCTGTCACTATGTAGACTCGTCCTGCAATTTGACTGCTCGTGCTACTCGAAATAGGTCCGGTTTGACCAGCCACCGAAAAGGATTTGTTAAACTTGCCGGTTTTTCCAGCCACCGGTAAGGAGCCGAGTGCAGAAATTGTTCCGTTTTCACCAGCCATCGGAAAGAAAGCAATCCATTCACTCTCATCTTCCTTGATCGGCGGTGGTTCAGGAGGGGCGATTGGCCTCTATATTGACACAGAAGAAATCTTGTTTCAGGATCGATAGAGAAGCCAATACACATCTCTTACTAACACCCAAGAACACCCGACCGATGATGGCGGGGAATATAAATCTGGCGAGCGACACTTCGCCACCGAAAATAATATCTCTAGACAACGCTAGGAAATAAACGTATACATAGAACTGAAAATATTGATCCAACGAAACTTTTTTAATGATTGGGATCCAAAGAAAATTGAACAAAGAGAGGAAAGAAGAAGAGGCGGCGGCTAGGGTTTCCCCTTCGCCGCTCCTCTCCTAAGGTGTGTAGAGCATTCCAATATTATACCTTTTCTATTCTATTCATTCAAATAATTGTTTTTTGCATGTCACATGTATGGCATGCATATTGTCAATATCTCATTATTCTTAAATTTCCAGTTTGCTAAGCTCTCTGTATCTTTTTATATGGACAAACATGCAAATTTTGTTCCAAACCTCCTCAATTATTAAAAGGAGTTAACTGCCAATGATGAATAGGATAACACTCCACACAAGAAGAAAATTCACCACCGAGAATAGTAGTGAATGTATTTTTTAGCCACTCTGAGTGACTTAGTCATTTTTTATTCCTGTTGTGATTTTGAAAGATTGTAAGGGGCTATATGTGCTGATGACAGCATAGACCTTTCCAGGAGTTGCGTAACTAGATAGTGAGAATAGCAGCTCAGTCTATATATTAGTGCTGAACAAAAAAAAACTGATAAACCAGTGAAAACCAAAACTGACTGACAAACTAAACCGATGAAAACCAAATCAAGGACAACTGACCAAAACATAGGTTCAGTTCACGGTTTGAGGATTAAGCATGAATTGTCAACCAAAACTGCCTTAAACCGTCCGAAAACATGCCAAAACTGACTGAAACAGACTGAAAATAACTGAACCAAAACCAGCCAAAGCAGACAAAATGTAGTCGGTTTGGTTTACGGTTTTACCTTTCTCAAAATCGATTCGATCTAAACTCAACCAACAAAACCAAAAACTGACAAAACCGAACTGACGAACACCCCTACCAGTGGTGTTAACTGTAATCTATTATTGCTACTTATTCACGTTTGCAATGTTTATTAACCTGAGGTGGAGTTGAATAGTGCAAGAAGTTTTTTCTTGATACCGGCTTCAATTGGTTTGTTGGATCATATTAAATGATTAAGGTGCTGTCTGCAATATGAAGATTGTGAGTTATCCAAATCACAACTTGTTATGTTATTACTTATGTTAAATTATCATGTTTTGTAGAACCAGGGCATATCTATTGTTGCTGAACTATGTGAAGCCAACAAGTTGAAGCAGGTTAGCTCAGAGGTACAGGGTGTCTGTGTCTTGCTGTTACTAATAACAATAATGGCATTGTACCTGGAATTTTGTGTGATCCAAATTTGTGGAATGAGACCTGTCTTAGGACACGTGGAGGACTTCACCAAGGAAATAAAATTGTTAATAAGAGGTACCAGCAACTGATCCTTGCTTGTTTTGTTCCGTGCCATTCGAAATGTTGAATTGACGACCATATGCCCTATTTGATAAATTAATGAATTTATCTAAAAGAGTTAACTCATGAAGCTTTCACATAAACCTTAAAGTTTTTTTTTCTTTCCGTTTCTTGTTTTCTGTTTATTCTGGAATTGGATCTGGTATTTAAACCATGTTGTCAAGTGATTTAATCATTATAGGGATATGTGTTATGGAATTGTAAATAAGTATGAACCCGATCACCCCCTCTCCTGTCCTTATCTCGTTTCACTACCATTTTTTGCTTACGGGTGTGACCTTTTTTTGCAGCAACGGAGGGGCATGTATTTCTGAAAGAGCATATGAAGTCCTTAAAACAGATAATCACTTTTGTATATCCCGATTTGCTGCAAATGGAAGACTTGCGTTGACTTTTGTTGTTGTAGATATGGTGATTAGTCAAGCACAGCCAATTCTGTGTTACCTCTCTGATTGCGGCGTCCTTGAGCAAACAAACATTAGTAGCATGTGTTATAGGAGTATTGCTACTGTTGTATTATTTAGCTTCCATTACTCTTTAGTGCCAAAATAGACCTTACAAAACTGAGGTGTCTTTATCATGCCCACTTACATATTTGTTTCGTGATAAATGTGAAGATTGTCAACATTCTATTCTCATTTTCTCTAAGAAAAATGATCAATGAATAACAAATAAGAAAACAGAGCCCCAAAACATGAATGGACAATTTTAAATTACTCTGATATTATATTGAATGTTGACGGTGACTTGCCACAAAAAATTCCAGCTAAGCTGGGCCCACCTCTAGCTAAACAACAATGATATCTCCATTTCCACCACTTCCACGTACCTTTTTTGAAGGAAAAAACATAGATAATTTTCCGTAATTACTTAACTGTTCTCTCTATCTTTGAATTACATTCGTCTCCTTTTTCCTCTCCTTCCAAATAATCATTTCCCTTTTTTGAGAATAATTTATGGTTTACGGCACTTTTAAGAAATAATTTACTACTTTAAGAAGAAAGTGACAGTTTTTTGCACAAATAAAAAAGAAGGGGAATTTGACTTTGGACTCCAATTTTTGGCCGATAAATTGTTTTGAATTTATCCAGCTAAGCTGTTTTGAATTTTTGGCCGATCCAAAAGAGGTACTTTGCACCCCTTTCTGAATTTTTTTTTTATTTTGCACCACATTCTACTTAAAATTCCTTTGATTTTGCACTCATTTATAAATATTTCTTCACAAAATGGTATGTGTTGGGGTGCAAAGTCAATTTTTTTTAAAATGGGGTGTAAAGTGTAATATTAGCCAAAAAATGATGTTCAAAGTCAAATTTTCCCAAAAAAGAAAGTAGACAAAATTCATTGGAATGGAGGGAACATTTCTTCCTTATTGGTACAACTCTTCATCACATAACTTATTACTTTCTTAGAGGCCGTTTGGCAACACTGTTTTCGGCTTATCAGTCAACTTTTTCACCAAACATGTAACTTTTGCTTTCGCGGCTGTATTGGCCGAAGTTACTATAGATGACCATTTTAGCTATTTTTAAATATAATTTTTTGTTTATTTTACCAATAAAATATATTTTAAAAATATTTTTTTTCTTAAATCAACAGACTCAGTCAATGCAACCAATTCAGCCAGAACTTCATAAATTTCAGTAGAATCCGCCAAAACAGTCGATTTTCGTGCTACCAAACGGGCTCTTAATTCACTTGCAAAATTTTGTTTGGAAAATAATTAATTTCTAAATTCACTTGCAAAACCTCATTTGGAAAGTGATTAAGAAATAATTGAGAGACAGGTACAGTAAACAGGACGGCGTGTTTTAAAAGATGAGGTAATGTAGCAGCCACTTTCTAATAGAAGAAACTGCCCAGAAGAGCGGGAAGAAGATATACTATAAGGGCTAAACAAGGCTGGATGGGTGCTCAGTACTCTAAGCAGGTTGAGCGGCGAAAATCTATTCACGCCGGGAGGAAATACTTAGAAGATCTCCAGACCAAGGACGGCAATGAGTTCCCCGGTTCCGATTACCGTCCACCTGATCGGAAAACATGGATGGCTGATCTCGACCCGCATAAAGTTCGGGTCAACCAGATCGTCTGGCCCGGGACCCACGATTCTGCCACAAACAAGATCGGTATTCCCATGGTTTCCCGCCCCTTCGCCCAATGCCAATCTCTGTCAATCTACCGCCAGCTGGTAGCCGGCGCCAGGGTTCTCGACATCCGGGTTCAGGAGGACCGGAAAGTCTGCCACGGGATCCTCACCACCTACGGCGTCGACGTCGTCCTCCGCGACGTCAAAAAATTTCTCTCGGAAACCCAATCCGAGATCGTAATCCTGGAGATCCGAACAGAGTTCGGGCACAACGACCCGCCGGAATTCGACAAGTACCTGGAAGAAGAGCTCGGGGAGTATCTAATCCACCAGGACGACCGCGTATTCGGCAAGACAATCGCAGAGTTGTCCCCGAAGAGATTGATATGCGTCTGGAAGCCCAGGAAAACTTCCCAGCCGAAAGCAGGGGGTCCGCTGTGGAGCTCCGGTTACCTGAAAGATAACTGGATCGACACGGACTTGCCGGAGAAGAAATTCGAGAGCAACATAAAGCATTTGAGCGAGCAGCCGGCGGTGGGGTCCCGGAAATTCTTCTACAGGGTGGAGAACACGGTGACGCCTCAGGCGGACAATCCGGTGCTGTGCGTTAAACCGGTGACGAACCGGATTCATCCGTACGGAAGACTTTTCATAAAGCGATGTGTATCGGAAGGGCATGCCGATAAGTTGCAGATATTTTCGACGGATTTCATTGACGACGATTTTGTGGACGCCTGTGTTGGGCTTACCAGCGCAAGAGTCCAAGGAAAAGTCTGATCATCGATCGGCCGTACATAGTAATAGTATATACTCCGTATTGGATAATCTTGGGTGTATTACTGTATTTGAGTGGATAAAAAATTTACACTCTTCTTTATTTAAGTTTACTTTGTTTATGGTGGAAATAATCTGGTCTGATGTCTTGTCTCTTTTATGCATGATTGGTGTGTTGAAGTTGGCTTCATATTGAATTCACTAATAAAAAGAGGAGAATGCAACTTTCTTTGTGTAACTTTTGGGTGTGTTCCTTTTAGTTCTTTAATTTTAGTTAGTTGGAGATTTGGTTGTGTAATTAATCAATTTTTGACAGACTCGATGTAGATGACGTATTTTTCTTCGTACCTAAGTTCAGAAAGTGTATTTTCTAGCAGAAAATCCTTAGATTACAAATATTTCTTAGTTACAGCACCACGTACATCTGCAAGTGTGTAAAGTTACATAACTAATAATGGGTCAACTGAAAGTTACATGGCTAAAATTATAAATCTACCTAAAAAATCCTTCGCTTTGAAATATTTCATCATGCTTTCTAAACTTAATTTCCCAGCCATTTTTACGTTGACGGGAGTAACGTTAATTTTGGAGTATAATTTTTTGTAGTGTGGAATAAAATGTAATATTGTTTCGATAGAATAAATGTTTAAAGAAATTTTTCTGAAGTATTAGCCTATTATTAGGAATTATAGTTCAAGAACACCTCATGATCGATCATCATTAAAATTAAGGTAGATTCTATGGTACCCATAAGGTACCATACCTTTGTCAAATGGACCAATGAGAATGTAGCAGTTGAATTATTTAAATCTAAATTAAAAATGATAAAGTGATGTATGTGGTCCAATCAAATGAATGGTAGATATGGTACCCCATTTTTTAGGAAGGTACCGGAGTTGTTACCTAAAATTAATAAGATTTGACTCAAATGTAATATTGGGAATTTAGTGATGGGGCTAAGGATGAACGAAGCACGTAGGAAGTATGTTGGAGTGGAGTGTGTATAGATTCATACATCAATTAGTTAAAAGTTATATACTTAGATTAATTATTTTGGTACATTTGCTGTATGTTTTGAAGTTTGAACTAATAACGTACGTTTTGGTGACAAAGTTAACAAGCTACTAAGCAGTAGGTTGCATTCGCTTTGATAACTCTGTTAAGCATTTGGGCTGGGCCGTGACGCGGTTGACCACCCCTCCACCTTCGCCCCTGCCAAATAAGGAGTATTATTTTAATTTATCTGTGTTCTATACTATTAGATTCATGTATATTTGTTTGATTGTTTTCTAGTACTTTTGTACAACTCTACTTAATCGATGTGTGAATCTACTTTTTAAAATTATTTTTGCTCCTTCAAAAAGAAAAATCATATATTGGAGTGTTTGAGAGAAAGTACTGAAATACTTGTAAGTGCTCCTAGGAGCATTTTTTTTAGAAGTTGAGAAGACCAACTTCTGAAAAACTGATTTTGATTTGCTTCACCTTTTAAAAGAGAAATAGAAGTGCCACCAGAAGACTAAGGCTTGAAAAAAATATTTGGGGGGCAAAGCATACAAATTTAACACAATTTTTTTCAACTTATAAGTGTGCATTTCTATGTAGACAACTAGAGTTACTAGACATTAGAGTTTGTTTCTTAGAGGAGTCGAGAGAATTCCTCCCGGCCTGTCTAGCTCCAGTGCTCCACCACTGCAGCACTACTTGTATAGCTTTACTAGCTACTTTTTATATATAATTGTTTTGCAACTAAAACTCATCCTCAGCTACGTTAGGCGACTTCACATTGTTAGGATTAGAGCTCAACCATGGCCATCATTATTGACTGAGTTGTGAGGAATACAATTTAGAGAAAAGAGGCAAATAAGCCATCCAACTATTTGCAATTCTGCAATCAGGCCCCTGAACTTGAAGAATTGCAGATACATCCTTCAACTTATTGGAAATGATGCAATTAGATCCTTTTTTACCTGTTGGTGTGGGGTAAGAAGATGAAATATTACCGGCACCGACAGGTAAAAAGGACCTCATTGCGTCATTTTCAATGAGTTGAGGGATGTGTCTGCAATTCTTCAAGTTCAGGGGTTTGATTGCGAATTGCAAATAGTTCAAGGGCTTATTTGTCCCTTTTCTCTGCAATTTATGACTGCTATGTAGACTAATTAAAACGTGTGAAAAAAATGAGCCTTACAACAATTTCTTGCTATATCTTGAATATTTTTACCTCAATTTAAAAATGAAACTTTACTAAACCACAAATATTTTATCTTCATAACAAGACGTCTCAAAAGTAAATTAGAAGCTATCTCATCATTCTCATAGAGATTGGGGGATTATTAATTAGGTTGTAGACTTGTAGTGCATATTGTATATAACATGAAAGGGTAAACATATAAATAGCCTATATTTATATTGTACATTTTCTCACTTCCTATTGTCTTCAAAGTAGTCTATAAATAGAGTGTTCCATTGTTGTTCATAGTATCAGTTTTAGAAAGTGAGAAAAGTGGTAACATGAAATATATTTAAGCCTAACATAATCAAGCTTTCTGGGATAACAACTCACAAAAATGTTTCCCCACTCATATATTAAGTTCGTAGTGCTTGGCCTTGGACAATTCACCTAATAAATTTTAGCAAATGGACAATTGAATTGAAGTACGTTCGTCATAACTAGCTAGCTCCATTTAGTGTACCTAACTAGCTCGTAAGATCGACGACCCAGTGACCGATGGAAGTACGTTCGTCATACAAATGAAATAAAATTGACTCAATGGCGGTGGCCGTTGGTGGTGGCGGCGGGATGATCGGTGGAGCTAGCTAGCTAGGCAGGCGAGGGAGCGGTGGCATTTAGGAAGGCGTGTAGTGGCGGCGGAGGCGGGGCTGCACCGGAGTGAGGGCATTGGTAGCACTTGGTGAAGAGCCCAAAGGTGTCAATTTGGTGCATGAAGTTGAGCATGCTTGCCCACCCACCAAACCCAAACCCAACAATGACCACCCACACCACTATGAATATGTTTATGGTATATGCTCCGGCCCATCTTCCCAAGTATTTCGGCGGTTGCTCCACCGCATTCTGCATATACCACATACACATGATCATCATGCAATTTATGCATCCTTATCCTAGAAAACAAAATTATATGTGGTTTATAGATGTTAAGTCTCGTGTATGGTCTCGTTTGAGACTGAAATCAACCAGCAAATATAAAATAGTCTTTAATTATGTAATACGTTAAACAGAGTTGTAAAATAAAATATAAAAATTACTCAATTTATATCAAAATAGAGTTTTTGAGACTTCTAGTACTCCCACTATTATGTCATTTCCACTTTTAGTATTGGACTTTTAATTTTCCACTTTTAAGTTTTAATCCTTCAACTATTGTGCGAAAATTTCCATTTTTGGTACCTGTCTTAAAAAATTTCCATATTTAGCTTTACGACTTTCATAAAAGTGACATTTTTGGTTCTTCAACTATTATAATGGCAACATTTTAGTCCCTTACTTATTGTATCAAAATCATAGTGGAATGACTAAATGTGTCAATTTGATAATACTCGAAGGAGCAAATGTGGGAAACTTTGAAATCGAAGACTAAAAGTGTTTCTCACACAATAATCGAGGATTAAAAATGGAAAATTTGAAAGTCGAGTACCAAATTGTCTGACAAAAACCCATCAATATTTAATATATTATTATGTTACTGTAAAGTATCAAATGAAATAGTCGATCTCTATCAATCTGTTTTACAAGGTATCTTGAAATATTGAATTGTACGTAGTAATAAATATCGTGTATGTGCAATCATATTAGGATGAAACTGATGTGTTAACAACTACGGAGTAGTTATTAAAAACACATCAAAACAATATATGCTAATAATGTAGAAGCCAAAATTATGCAACAAAAGACAGATCAAATATATATCTGAGAGAACAAATTTTACTAACCTCCCGAGCTTCCGGTGATTTGAAGGTGAAGATGTGAGCAAGAGCTGGGATGATGTAGACGGTGAAGCTAACCAGAAGAGACCCGACGGTGGAGTTGATGGGCCCGAAGAAAGGGAAGACGATGGCGAGGAACCAAATAGGTATGACCACGGGCAATCTCGCGAACGCCCGCTTGCAAAGGCCGGTTTTCGAGCCGTGGATGCCTATTGCCTTCTCCCAAACAAAGTATAGGGGCGTCGAGGCAAACCCGAAGGTAATGAACTGGTGGATGAGCATGAGGATGACGGCCACGTCACGGAAGGGCGTCTTCGGGAGGAGAGAAAAGGCATTGGAGTGGTCTAGCAGCAAATCTCCAAAGGCCCAATACACTGCTGCTGCTGAAGGTAGAGTTAGGGTTAACACATACAATGTTGCCCACATGTATATTGCTTTGAACTTCTGTGGCTTCCACATTGCGTGCATTATCTCTCTGTACCAGTTTTTACACCCATAGTAATTAAATAAATATTCATCAACCATATCTATTGTTATACTAAATTGTTTAGGGCTAATGTATGTAGTTTCAGTCCGTAACTTTGTTGTACCCATTATTAGGCATATAATTTTACTCCTTACGAATAATTTGATCCTTCCATAACAAATAAATTTATCCACATTTCGGTCTTTTCCACCACATAATATACTTTTCAGCAAACACAAATCAGAAAATCCATTGCTTGCATCAACTTTTATGTGGACAATAACAAACTGTAGTGAAAAAGTATTTTATATAGATAAATTTATTAGTTACGAAGTTCGTAAATCGTAAAACTACTGGACTAAAAATGGACATCAGAATAAATGTACAATTTCCACGGTTATTTATTACCCTGCTCATGGCTTTGGTATGGTTTTTTTTTATCGAGTATGGTTTTTTATTAGGATCATTAAAATTGTTTTTTAAAATTATAGCTTTATTTTATTTATTCATTTTTCATTCATGATTTAATCTATTTAAATTTTAAACCATTCAAAGAATCTAATGGTCAAAATCCTATGGGTTGACTAAATTGCCTTTGGAAGGAGTTGACTTGTATATTGCCAGTGCCCGGTGGGGTCGGAATCATAACAATAATTGATTCAGCACTAAAAAAGAAAAGTAAAGCAAAGAAAGAGTTTTTTTTTTGATGAAAAGCAAAGAAAGAGTTGGTGCTTTAATTTGCACGCCTTAATACATTTGGAAATAAATCAATATATCCTTGAGTCGCTTGAAATCCCATAGAAGATTAAAAAGAACGTATATATCGTATATAGATAGGCCAATGCACAATAAGTGATAATGACAATTTATACTCCGTAGATGCATATATAGACTCAACAATTTAATTAATGCAACGTCATTTATTAAACAAATGGAAGAATTGGTGCCATAGGGAGTAAATTTACTTGAACGTCTCACTCATTATCTATTAGCATGTGATTAAAGTTTTATTTACATCATTCAAATTAATTGTCTAGTCAATATTGAGTCTTTAAAGGGATGATATCATCAAATTTTTAGAAGTTGTTTCGCAAAAAAAATGAAGAAAATTACATTCTTACACAAAATTTGAACACAAATCGTACACACAGACTACAGTTGCATGTGTACGCACGCATTTCATTTAAAAATGATAATCCAAAATGTCTGTTTACACAAACAATGTACAACTTATATACAAATTTTGTGTACAACCAGAATTGATCTGGCTTCTATATTTTGTACTCCTTATACTTTTGGTAGTCAAGTCAAGAGAGTAAATAGTGAAAGTGTCTTGCCGTAGAAAACAAACCATAAAATAGGTAAAAATAAAAGTGAAAGTAAAACATGTGTGTCTTACACAGTGACGGCATGCCCGCCGAAGGTGTAAAGAATGTTGGTTGCCCCTGTAAAGTATAGAACTAGTTTCGTTGGTCCTGAGTGCTTCACCCCCTCCACCTGCATATATAATTATTGTTAATTATGTATTACGTTTCTTCTAGCTAATTGTTTTGTTTTAATTTCTTCTTTTCAAAATTGAAGTACTAGTCATTAATCGTTCAGAAATTAATGCAGACTGATCAAAGATTTCTAGGTTGAATTGGGTGATCAAATGTCTACACAATAATGGGTACTATTTTAAGTTAATCGTTCATAGATAACTTATTGAAAATGTATAGATAGAAATTGATCAAAATGTGATTAAAACACGTGCAAAATTATACTCCGTAACAAAAATGATTAGGTATATTTTATTCCTAAAATAAGGCATACGGAGTACTGGTATTATTTAGTTCTACTAAAGGAGTAAATAAAAATGTTCAAAGTATGACCAAAATATAGGCAGCGTTCTGATCTAAAATAGGACCAAATAAATTTTCTTGCAAAAATAGGACTTATAATTTGTCCTATTAAAAAATAAACTAATAGAAATTTCCGTAAATAGGGATGCATTACTCATATTTTTGGAAAAAATATACCTCCTACTTCGTATTTAAGAACATTGACTGATTTTTTTTTGAGTAAACGGGTTTAAACTTCTCTAGATATGATCATATGAGTACACGAGTACCATTTGGAGATGAAAGCATTGTGATTCAATTCGTATTAAAAAAAATGCAATATTTTACATCTATTTAGGGATAGAAGTAACACTTCTTTGGAAATGTTCATTATATATCACTCATTTAGCTTCTGTCTAAACTCCATGAAAAGGAAGGTGACATGTCCTTTTTTTATACATCAAGGTCACCTTTTTATGGCCTTTAGTCGATGGAGGCCCTCAAATTGAAAACATATGCACCACTTTGTGAAATAATAAATCTCAGACTCTTATTCAAAAATCCAATCACACATGCAATTGCAAAGTACATTTTTTGTAATCCCTTTAATTAAGTAGTAGTATGATGGGATTGGAATACATACCTGGCCATGGAGAAGGGAAGCGAGGGTGAGGTACCAAGCGGTGTAAGAGGTCATCAAGAGCCCAAGAAAAGACCAAATCCGATAGTTGTGGAAAGAAGGGATGAACACCGTCGTCGCACAGCATGCTCCAAATATGTACGTCCAACTCCTCTTGTCCAGCTTATCATTTATGTAATATATGTTGCTGCATCATACATTAATCAATTACTCCGTATTAATTTATCAACATGCTTGCACATTTTATATACATATCCTATCACTTAGTTATTTAATTTACTTTATCCATTGACGATCACATATTATTTTGGTAAGTAATAGCAATTAATTACACGTACGTGAATATAGGTACTAATGAATCACGTATGATCATTTAATACGATATATAGTTAGCTAGATATATAAGTAGATAGCCAGATAGGTAGTGTGTAATGAGCTTATGAACCAATAGGTGGATCTACATTAAACTGTATAATGCTGAAGCCTAGCAATCGTTTTTTAGTGTAAACTTAGTCACATAATGTTATTGTTGAGCCGTTTGGCCAAATTACTTTTCATACACAATTTTCATGCATCTTTTTACACATATACTCCGTACATTATACTATATACGAAGTATCTCTATTCCGAAATTAAGTACACAAATAGACTTTCAGGATTTCGTGCATTGATGTTTAACCATTAATGTATATAATAAACTAACATTTCAATAAAATATCCTAAATAAACTAACATTTCAATAAAATATCCAAAATTATACTGATATTATAAAATACTATCTCTGTCCAAATTGTTCGAGTATATTTTGAAAATTTGAAATATAATTGTAAATTGTAATAAATACGTATATAATCCTATGTTGTAAGAACCGGACCGGACCGGGCGGGTCGACCCGGAACCTGGTCACCCGGAGCCCAAGCCGGTCCGGTTGAACCCCAACCCGCAAATGTGGCCGAACCCAGAAAAACCCACTAACCCACCAGACCCGGACCGTAACCCATGACGGCCCAAACCCGGAAATTCCTTACAACCCGGAATGAACTCAAAAATATGTAGCTGGGGAGATTCAAACCCGGGTATATGAGGTTGGTGGACTGACGCCAACCCAAGAAGCTGCCTTGGAATGTTGTCACAATGTGTTACTTAACCGTATTTAATACGGAGTATATTTTATATCTGTTACTAAATATAGATTTACTTTTAAATTGATAATCACAATAAAAACATAACATCATTTAATATACCGTATATGTGATTACTAATATTATGAGTGAAAGTGTTTATATAATATTTCATTGTTTAATAAGCATCGTATTCATATTTAATAACCATCTAATTTAATACTACATATATATTTTATATTTTGTTTAAAATTGTATATTTTAAAATAATAATTCTATTTCTTTGTTGACCGGGTTTTCTTGTTTCCCAGTCCGATTTATACAGCATAGATATAATCTGGCATAAGAGCCTAAGTAGTATGTAAACGGGCATCGACTGCGGCGCTTCCGTTGCAATACAAACGTCTCTTCTATTTATAAAGTTGTTGGAGAGAGGAGTTTTTCCAATTTTACAGTGTGGGAAAAATGAAGAAGCGAAATAAAGGGAAAAAAGGAACTAAGCCAATGCTGAAATGTAACTGAGCAATTTCCGAATAGTTTCCACTTTCCACCTAGCATTGTGCGTGGTATTAATTCGAATGAACAAATTTCAAATATGATACGACTATACGAGTATTAGGTTCGTACATAATGTTTATAAGTTTTTTTTATCATTTGGACCGAGTTAATCGATCAGCTGCATGCAGGTTGAATCGTGACAAAGTCATTTGACGAGATCAATTACAAGTCCACTTCTTACAAGATATTACATACCTATTACTGTACACGGGTGGAGTCACGAAATCAACTTAGGCCCCGACTCACCCCAAATTTAAAATTTCTTTTAAGTACTACATATTATTATTAATATAAAAAAAGTCGTGCAAAAATTTATCCAAAAAATCTATGTGCCGATGTATTTCTAGCACAATGCCTTGACTACGGCACTGATTTGAGGAAGATTGGTTTTCACTTCAACCTAATTCAAATTCCTATATTTGCTCGTGATGGCTTAGAATGTTTTTACTTGGACTGTAATTTGTTGATCTGGTATGATCTGGTTTGAACTGATCCGGTCTTGTTTCTTTCATTATTTGTATTTTTATAACTATCCAAGTCTGGTCTAGTCTAGTCTTAGATTGATTACGGTCCGAGTAAAAACATCTTTAATTATGAATTAACCACAGATGGATCACATGCATGTACTAATGTCATATAACTATATAAGTACATACCTAGCACATGCGATGAGCTGAATGACAGCGCCAAAGAGAAGAAAAGTGCAATTGAAGGCCAAACCCACGTTTCTCCAATGCTTTCCCAGCAGCCCATCCAGTACTTCAAACCACTAATGATAATGTTTATACAAATCAAATTTCATCATCACTCCTTGATCAGTATTATATATATGCATGCACGAAATTATGCAACATATATAAATGATTAACGCTAATTAATTGATTACCTGAATGACGTGATTATTAGAATTGCGGAAATCAAGGAGCTTTTGGCGTTCTTTTCTAGAACGGAACTCGAGATAGAGAGTGGTGATGAGGTAGGCCGTCCAGCTTCCCATCACACCATAGAAGAGTTGGAATGCTATGCCCGACGCCATCCCCAGCTGCGAAAACGAGTATGGCAACGTCAGCAGCACTTGTGCCACCTAAAATTAATTCAAGTAGTCCACAAACTTATTCATTACCAAGTACTACGTATATAATATGATCATTTTCTCATTAAATATTGTTACATTATTAATTACATTCACAAATACAACTTCATATTCTACAATAGTACAATCTAACCTATTTATAGCATCCCTTAAAAAAACTGTGTATAGCATCCGTTCATCTTGATAGAGATTCAAACACCATCTTAGAATATAGTAATTAATGTCATGATACCACAAGAAACTCATCGACACAAATACAACTTATTATACTAAATGCACTCAATTAAGTCTTAAGATCTCTGGTTTTATGATGATCGAATTGGGATGACAAACCGAAGGAATTGAAAGAGGAAATACTCTATATCTACATTATGATTATGATGGGCTAAAAATCTGATCAAGTCCATACTTACAAAAGTTTTTCTTGATTTTTTGGTGTACACTAAAAGTTATGGTACATTTTCCTCATTTAGTCCATGTCGTCTGAGCGTTATTACTCAAAGGCTAGTACAAAACCGCCTCCTAATATAGGGGTATTTTTGTTAAGATGGATGAGCTAGCTAGCTAGCGCTCACCATTTTGCTAGCTAGCTAGAATTGAGAATAACTAAGATATACTCTTCCCTCCTTTGAAATTCTTCCCGATTTAATTTTGGATCGGAGTTTAACAAAGTGAGAATAAAGTGGAAATGTGTGATTGTGATTGAGTATGAAAAATGTAAATGAATGTTAGTCACACAAAACTTTTCAAAAACAGAAATAACAAAAATGTAAATAAATGTTAGTCACACATAACTTTTCACGAAAGGATTGTAAGGGACCAAGTGAGTAACTAATTGTTAAAGCATTTGTCTCACATCACGTTAACATTTTAGGATGAAATCTCAGATCTTAACACTAATTAAAGTCAGGCTATGCACCTGATTAGAAGCACAACTAAACCATGCATCATAAGCAGAGCCGCCATGCCAGAAGAGTCTCCAGATCTTAGCCTTCATGTTCGCCACCTCCTCCTCCACCGTAGCTTTCCCATCTACTACTCTTTCCATCTCAACATAACTCCCTGCTATCGCTGTCTCCACCCCCTTCTCGTCTGATGATAATGATCTATTACTATTTAAAACTTCCATTCTCATTCTCTAGCCGATCAATATCTATGACTCTGATCTGAATATTTAGTGTGTATATATTTGTCTTTGGAAGGTGGTGACGATCATACGAATTATACCCAAGCTACAAATGTCTTGTTTTCGTAGGGGCAGACGTATCAATGTTCTACGGAGTATTAAAGTAAAACTGTGTGGCTACTTTTCCACTTTTTTTGAATGAGAGATTTAACTAAATAAGACTAAAACAAGGTAGAATTGCAAAAATAGGACTACTATGTTTTATTTAACAAAAATAGGACTAAAGATAGGTAATCTGACAAAACTACCCTTAATTAAATAACCGATGCACACCAGCGACGCACGACATCCTCCATTGCGACGCACGACACCAGCGCTGGGATCCATCCTCCCATGGACTGGCAAAATTGAATCTCCATAGCTGCACTCATCACCCATGCTGGAACCTCCATGGCCGCAATGCTCTGTTCACGCTGGAAAACTTCCATAGCAGGGCATCTCTCCTTCTGCAATTTTCCAGGTAATCTCCTTCTCATTCTTCTTCTTCTTCCTTCTTTCTCCTCCTTCTCCTCCTCATCTTCTTTCTCTTGTTCTTCTTCCTGGGCCTCTTTTTTCTGGTTTTCTGTTTTCTTCTAATTTGTGAACTTTTAAGATTCTAGATTAATCTATTAATTTTGATTATTTTCAAAAATGCCACTTTATTATATGAGAATGTCAAAATTATTGGTTATTTGAAGAAAAAATGTCACGTTTTTGGCAGTATATTTATCAGGATGTCAATCTAAAAATGTCTGAAAATGTCATATGTCCATAAGGAAATGTCATTCTTATAGCATTTTATGGCATTCTCGCATATCAGGTTGCATTCCTCATGGAGGTTTGCACAGAGTCACTGGAGGGAAGATACTTTGTCACTTTCATGACATTTTCGAAAGAAAAGTGACATTTTCAGATTGACATCCTAATAAATACAATGTCACAAACGTGACATTTTTTTCTTCAAATAACCAATAATTTTGACATTCTCATATTATACCAGTGACATTTTACTGAATAAATACAATCAAATCCAAAAAATTCAAATTAATTAGTAAAATTCAATTGCATGAAATCCAAAGAAGAAGAGAATAGAGGGCCAGAAATTTGAGGAGGATTAGAAAGAAGAAGAAGAGGAGGAGGAGGAGGAGGAGGAGGAAGAGGAAGAGGAAGAGGAAGACTTACCTGGTTGCAGATGAGTGCAGGACGTCAGAACAGTGACGCGAGGCCATGGAGCAGTAGTCCATGGGAGGCAGAGATGTGCTGCGATGAATTGCAGAGCCGGCGACGGGAGTACTGGTGCGATGAATTGCAGGGGTAGACTTGTAGGCTTAATTGATTCAGGGGTAAAAGGGTAAACTTTAGTCCTATTTAGAGAATAATAAACTTAAAGTCCTATTGTGGAGTTTATACAATGTTTTAGTCTCATTTAGGATAAATACTTTTTTTGAATTGAGGCTTTCTATTGCTAGACGGCTAGCTAGACCCCAAAGTTAGGGTACCCCTTTTTGACAAATCTTTGTTTCGGAAGTTCTTGTATGGTGTCACAATATACCGTCCATATATATAGGGCGTGGTTGGCATATCATTCATTCACGTAATCCGTTTAGCGGTTAGCGATTAACGGGTTATGTTAGCGGGTTGTCAATAACGAATTCAGTTGAGAGGTTTGACTAGCGGCGTAAATTGGCGGGTTTTAAAGTATATTTAGTAAGTTAGTTGTTTGTTCATAACAATTTCTAGAAAGCACCACATTTCAAAACACTAACAAAAAACTGTTGTTTGCAGAGTTTCCATTTCAACGGTTCCATCCAAAAACTCTATGGCTGAATTCATAATTAGTTACAAACAATGTTTTCACTTATTGAAAACGTTAAATGATTCAAACCGTCTTTTTGGCTAAAATGCCATTTTACAAACAACTTCCATAGTACCATGTACTTGGTAATGTGTTGCGCATGATGATGTAAATGTGGGTAAATTGTATGTAATCATAAAGATAAAATTACTTGGAGTATACCTAAAAGAAATGGTAATTCATAAAATATGACTAGATAACTTTTTATTCCATAATTAATGGTGTTTTATATGTAAGGTGTGCATTTTTATCTTACTTTTTCTATCGTGAATTGAATTATTACTCGTATGGAGTCATATTTAAGACAAAATTATAAATAAAAGGTTAAATGAAAATAAAAATCACATATGATATGAAAGTGCAGGGGGTTGAATGAATCATGACAGTGGAGTTAAAATGTTAAATTAACTTCAAATTAAAGTATGTTTGAATCACGCATAAAGTAGTTAATTTATCTCCATTATTATATTATTATGGTTTTTTAAAGAATCTCCATTATTATGATTGATTCAACACTTGAACGTTTTCTCATTTAGCCTTTTTATTTTAGTCTTTGGATACAAATTTTCTTAATTTATTAATTGTACTTAGCTTGTCTCAAAAGAAATGCCCTCTTTTCTTGTGTTGTCTCACATTCAAATCACTTAGAACTGATATTTACGAATTGAAGTATTATTCATACAAGACCAAAGTTAAATACGTACATGATATTCCAGGCATGGCCAAATCAACCAGGGACGGATCCAGGATTCTGAGTCAAGGGGGGCGAAATTTTTCGTTAGTGTAGGGGGTGAATTTTTTTTGGTTAGTGTAGCGGGATGAATTTTTTTCCCCTAGTGTAGCGGGGCGAAATTTTTTCGCTACTGTGGGACTATGCGGCTATTTTTATTCAAAAAATGACATTAATACATGCACATCCCGAACGGCATTTAAATCTAATACATTTTAAGTTTAGACAATGACAAAGACATCAACCAATACATTTTTAATAACTTCTACAGTGTTTAACCTCATAAATCGGTTATTGAATTGTAATTTTTGTCCACCAAGGAGGGTGTTCGTGAGTCATGACTCATGAGAAGTTTTCTTAATATTACAATAGTAGTATACTAGTATGTATGAGATTGTTATTTTTAGAATAATGTGCACCACATACACACACGTATATATGGCGCATATTATATTTTAATATTTTTATTAATTCTATAATAATTTAAAGTTTATTATCCATGCAATAAATTATTTTTAGAAACCAATTCAAGAAGTAAATGAATTATGTAATCTGATGTCTATAAATATTTATATTTTGGATTCATTTCATGTGATCTAAAAATTGTGTAATTAGTGTGTCTGGTATTTACTATTGTTTGATATATGTTTTACAAAATCCAGTACTTGTTATCTAATAAAGATAATTAAACATTACAAAACTAGGAATTTATATATAATAAGTATCCTAAATCTTAAATAACGAGTTACTCTATTGTTTATTTGTTTAAGTTATGTAAATTATTTTAGATGTTTATTCTTTCAAATCTCCAATTAAGTATTACATTATGTAAGACTATATACTAACTTTGAAAATTAAAAGCTAAGGGGGGCGAATCTAATTAAATTATGAAAGTTTTATGAAAAATATTACATATATGGTAAAAAAAATTGAATGTCCAAGGGGGGGCGGTCGCCCCCCGCCCCCCCCCCTAAATCCATCCCTGAAATCAACACAATATCGATCGATCCGTAGTATATAGTAGAGTATATATAATACCGAGTACTATCGTATATCATAATAAATCAAATCAAATCATACCAAACCAAATTACAAAAATTAAACATATATCATATTCTACCTCACCTAAATTTCTAGATACATAAACTAATTAAGCTAATGTTTTCAAGCAAAACTACCAATTTTAATTCTGTGAAACGTGTTTTAAATATATAGGATCGGAAAAGGTTAATTGAAGGGCTGGGAAAAAAATGTCTAGGATTTAACTTATCAACCTCATTAACCGACCTCACCTAAATTTCGAAGGTTTAATTTTGAGACTACATTTACCGTATTATATACGTAGTACTATGTATATAAATATATAATCAACAATTAATTAAAAAGTGGGTGGTGGGGCAAATTATTATGAGAAAATAAAAGTAGACCGCATTATTGCAGCCAAACGAGCGTGATTGCTTTATTTATAACAATGGGCTAAACAGCATTTTGCTTTTCTCGTCACATGTTGAATTGGCTTGGGAAGGATTCATTGATTCAACATATACGTACTACGTATGAATAAAGGAAAATTGATACAAAAAGGAGCACCATGTTCAGGCAAAGCTCAAATGAGTATGCTTCAAGGCTGTAGCAATATAATCATATATGCGGGGTATAAAATAAAAGTATTATACGGCGCATAATCGTAAGTTATTTTGTTTAGAGTGTTTTGCATGATTACTAATTGTATGAATGATTACATGTGCTGTGCAAAATCAATTCTATATCTGGTATAATTACTCACTCGACTAGTAGGCATTTTCCGGTATGTGTGGCATCTAGTGTTACAAAAACAAATGTTTGTAATAAGTTAATTATAGAACCAAGCTGGAATATAATGGTGAATAAAATATATCTCCTACTTCTCACAAACAAGTTCGTGTTTTAATTTGACTTTAACTTTTTGTTCTGAATTTTATTTATACCTCTATTTTATGTTAAATAAAGCAAAATAAAATACAAAAGATAAGGCTAACAGTGAAATTTCTTATTAGAAATCTTCTTTTTATGCAAATGAGAATTTTATCTTGGGAATTTTCGAATTGGGAAAGTATATATATGTGGAAATTTCTTTTCTGGACAAATGATAAGAAGCATATAATGAGCATCAAATGCCTTTTGTTCTCTTACATTGTCCTTCATTATGGTGATAAATGTATGGATTCTAATCATAATTGCATCTATTTTCAAACATTTATTTTTTCCTTAAAATTGTAAATTCTTTCTCAAACTTGAAAATCAAGTTCATTAACTGCTTCTTATCATATGTGCCCAGGGGCACACATTAAATATCATTTGCCAAGTTCCATCTGTGTGCCCAGAGGAAAGGCTCTTGACTCTGTTTACTTGTGAATGCCATTGAATAAAGCAAATTCACTTGTTAAACTGTTTGTATTTCTTTGTTATGAAGCACCAATTAGTTCATGCAATTTTTGACATGGTTTTTGTTATGGGTCATCCGGAAATGGTCTCTCTATGCTTTAGTACAGGAGCAAAACTACGTACATCCGACCCCCCCTATCCCATCGAAGGTGCGGGAGCCTTTGGGCACTGGGGTAATGATGATGGTGACTATGAGATCGATATGAAATACTAATTTTTGTTATTTCATGCCCATGCATATTTTTTAGTTATAATCATTTAATTTTGGCTTAAATGTGTTTCTAGTCGACGTAAATTTAGTGATTTTGTTTTACGTCCTTACAATTTTTTATTTTGTTTTTCATTTATGCAATTTATATTGTTTCTCTTTTCAATTTCTCATTGATTGTAATTAACAACCCGTGCTTGACAACAAAACAACCCTAATTAGTATGTCTCCTCTCATTCTTTGTCATGTCATTTAAAAAATACAATATTTTTTCTGTTTAGAAGATTGTTAAAACATATTTTAAAAACATCAATGCCTAATTTTATACTCCCTATGTCCCACTACCACTAACAATGGTACAAGAGGGAGTGACACACTTACCAATAAAAGTGAGTTTATGTGGTTGATATTGAATTGATAAAGTAAAAATAAATTAATAATGACTTAGAACCACACAAATTTTACTAAATTTCGTATGAGACAATCTTAGTGAGACAGATCGAAAAGGAAAAATGGAACATTCTTAGCGGGACAGAGAGTATTATTTTAGTTCAAATTAAAATAAAAAAATTACTTAAGAAAAAATAAAAAACTAATATGCACTTCTTCTAAATGGACTGCTCCTCGAGTAGTTAGACATGAACAAGAAACAAAATATAAATCATTTCTCAAGGGTGCATATTATAAGGATAAAAAACAAAAAACAAAATATAAGACCAATAACAACAGAGTAAAAAGAGAAAAGAAAGATAACAAAGATAAAAAGAGATAAGAAAGATAAAAAGAAAGCGTAAGCTAAAAAAGATAAGTTAAGAATATCAAATTAATGTGGTGTATGTATTTGTTTAAGTTATAAGGATTGCATATTCAGATATTCTAAGTGCAGGTAGTGCGTGTTAAGAGTTCTAATACTCCGTACTAATTTAAGACCAAATCTTAATACATGGACACTAGAAAGGTAGACGAAAGGAGGAGAGAACTATCATTGCAATTTTGTGTATTTCGAACCGATGCAGTATCCTGATTACTTTTGCAATTATTGTTATGTTTTACATTAAAAGCATTTCATGAAGTCATTTTTTAAAAATTAATAAAAGTTTTAAGGCTACAAATAATATTAATAAAAGGTTTATAAATCTCTCAGAATGCCCGTTTGCCCGATGTTGAAAGCCACACAAATCCCATACATAAATATTAGCAGTTCTTTTCTTCATTTGCAAAATCTGCTCCATCATTTGTATCTAATGAAAGCCACACAAATTTTAATCATGGTTGTAGGTCATTTGAAGGCTCTAATAAAGCATAATTTATCCATATGTACCATCTGTCTAGTAGCTATTTTATATGACTGCACAAAAGCCACAAAAGAATTCTATTTAATTTCTATATATGTGTGTGTGTGTGTGCGTGTGTTTTCTGTTAGACTTTTTGTCCAACATTAAGTCCCAAGAAACTCAATATATTACTCGTTTATAAACTTTTTTCGCTTAGACTTTTTTGAGAAACTATAGACCTGATTTCCGAGAGAATCCAATATTACTATGTTCTTGTGTATTTTTGGCTAACATTTTAACAATTTCTCTGTTTTAATGGTGTTAAGAAACTTTTGTTTATTTTTATAAAAATAGTGTTGTTCACTATTATGTTTAGTAGATGACTTTTCCCGTGCAGATTTCAATTACATTAATGAACAATGTGTCAACTTTTTATAATGCACAATATGCAAGTTTTTTAATTTAGTTTAATATGAGCTACTAATTGCATACATATATGATTGAGTATATGTATATTAATGACTAATATGCTTTTTTCAAGCTTTAAAAATTATTTTCCCACCATGAGATTGATAATAAAGTTACTGAAAAAATATTGTTTATGTGTCAATATTAGCTGTGACAGTTTTAAAATATACTCCGTATGTACGTATTTTGTACCATTACTTGATTATAAGTTTCTGAAACGTTTATTTATGTGTTTTTGACTTAATTATGCATTATGCAGATTTTCTTTTATTCTTTTTATTAGTGTTTTTTGTGTGAGAAAGCAACTCTTCGCCTAGCGCATACGCTTTTAATGAAAGCCCACCATCATTATATTACTTTTATTTTTTATTTTTCATTTTAAATAAGTTTTCCTATAAAGAACCAGAAAATCAAAAATTGGACTATGTTGTGAATTGTGATTAAAAAAGTATTAAAAACGCATGAATAAAACCTATAAGAAAATGATATTATGTATGTAGTATTTGTTCAATGCGTGGTTTATGGATAATATTTTCTTATGATTGTACTCTTTTATTTTCAACATATTCTTACATATTTTATGGGATATAGAGTTGAATGCATGCAATTAAGTGGTCTAGTGCTTATATATATGGGATATAGAATTTTATAAAATTTGTTGAAACCTTTAATGGGCGAGAGGGACACATTAGATAGATGTCCCTGTAGAGGTTGTTTAAATCTAAAAGTTCAAGATAAAAAAAAACAGTGAAAATTCATCTTTTAGAATACTAGATATAGATCCTGGCTACATTACATGGTTTTATCATGGTGAAGCATCTAGTTCGCTAACTTTTGGGAGTGCAGATAACAATAGAGAGGATGTAATGGATACTGATTTTGAAAAAAGTGTTGAAGAAGAAGATGAGGATGGTATTCGATCATAAAATGTTGTTTGACCTTGGCCAACAATATGATCAACATGACATTGATAATATGTCTTCTGAAAATCACAATTACAATGGCATGTGGTCTTCCGGTATATTTAGAGGCATTGGTAAGTAACGCTCAAGCAGAACTATTATCGAGGTTGTATGAAAATTTCAAGGTTATCTTTTACCATATCATGTCGTTGTTGCACATTAAAGTGTACAATATGTTGAGTGGTAAAGATATGGATATGATCTTGAAATTGATGAAGTCACCTTTACCTAATGGTGTGACGCTTCGAAGTTCCTACTATGATGGCACACAAATATTGTGGGGCTTGGGGTTGGGATATGAATGTATGCATGCTTGTAAGTACGATTGTGTTCTATTTTGGAATAATAATAATAATTTGGATTGCTTCCCAACATGTGGAACCTCTAGATGGAAAGTTGATGATGGTAATAGGAAGAAGATACCACATAAAATTTTACGGTACTTTCCTTTAAAACCTAGCTTGTAACTCCTTTTCATGTCTCAAAAAACATGTGAAAAGATGGTCTCGCAAAAAGAGAAATGGATTGATGATGATTATATGAGACATCCTCCTGATTCTGCAGCATGGAAAGACTTTGATAATGAATATCCTTGGTTTGCAAGTGATCTTAGGTTAGCTTTAGCTGCAGATGGTTTCAATCCATTTGAAAACTTAAGCTCAACTTATAGCATGTGCCCGGTAATTTAAGCCCCATTGAATCTGCCCTCATGGAATTGTATGAAAGAATCATTCTTGATGTTGTATTTGCTGATTTCAGGTCCTATGTTACTTCACCTAGAAAGGATATTGATCTCTACTTACAACCAGTAATGAAGATTTAAAAGGGCTGTGGGTTGACAAGGCTAAAACATTTGATTCTTCTACCAAAAAGAATTTTCAAATGCATGATTCTGTTTTGTGGACTATTAATGACTTTCCTGCATACGGCGATTTGTCGGTATGGAGTACTAAAGGGTACATGGCTTGTCCATTTTGTAATGAACGGACATATTCTTAAAGATTATGAAGCAAGCTATGTTATATGGGGCATCGTCGTTATTTATCCAAAAATCACGCATGGAGAAAAAGCAAGAAGTTTGATGGTAAATGAGAAGATAGTGAGGCATCTATGGAAATGAGTGGGGAGGATGTCATGATGCAGTTAGAGAGTTTAACAAATTTGTCACCAGGAAAGCATGATAGTAAGAAGAGGAAGTGTGCGTCTCATGAATTGAATTGGACTAAACACAACATCTTTTTTAATTTGCCTTATTGGAGCAAGCTAAAGTTAAGACATAATTTAGATGTAGTGCATATAGAGAAGAACATCGGTGAGAGTATATTGGGAACCTTTATGAATATAGATCGTAAAACCAAGGATACTGATAAGTCAAGAAGAGACTCGGAGGACATGAACACCCCATTCTCATTTTTTCAGATAGGGTATGTCTATTTATCATTTGTAATATATTTTCTTTATTTTCAATATCCCATTCTCATTTTTTCTCTATCTGATAGGGTAAAAAATACCAAAACATGTAAGCAAAAGCGTCATCACTTTTGTAGAAACAAAAGTTTAATTGTAATTATAATAACAATAAAAAACAATATAATCAAATTCATAAATAAAACAATGAATACTGTAAAACAACAAATAAGTATAGTACATAAAGAAACATACTATATGTATAACATAATATCAGCAGCTGCAATAGTAGTATTAGTTTTCCCAATCATAGTCATCACTTTCAGATTCAAAACCAGTTACTTCGAGGGTTCCTTCACTACTTAAATAATCAATCAAAGTGTCATCTATTTCATCTTCTTGCTCTTCCTCGATATTTGATGCATGAGGATCTTTAGACTGTTTTGAAATTAATGCCTCCTCAATTTCTTCAGGATCTATGTCCTCTCTGTGCAGGGATTGTATATCATCGATAGTAACTTCAATCGATTCATCAATTTCATTCTCTTGATACACTTCATCCTCCATTAACAAAACATTACCAACATCCTTTTCTTCATTTTGCTTCTCTGGTACATCAGCCTATGTTGGAATGGTTGCACCACTCTCCAGTCAGCTCCTAATTTAGGATCATTTATGTACAAAACGTGTCTTGCCTGATCTGCTAGTATGTAGGAATCATTCTCATACCACTTATTAGTTATTCTAATACTAGTGATATTTCCCTCCTTTTGTATCCCAATTTTTTTCTCCCAAGTTCAAAACATTCGCATTTGAATATAGTAACATATCTATCTTTGACATAATCAAGTTGATTTATTTTAGTTAAAACCCCATAAAAATATATAATCTCTTCACTGTGGTTCCCCGGCCTCCACAACAACTCCGCTATTTTGAGTTTTGCGATGACTATCACAATCTTTAATAAAAAACCTTACACCATTTACAATACATATTGAGTATTTTCTTACGCACCTATGTGGTGCACATGCAAGTGAATATAGAACGTCATTCAATTCGCTTGTGTTTTATTTGATAGACCTATGATAGATATTTTATTTGATAGCGTTTTGAAAGGTGTTATGTAATTTATATGTTTACTATGATACATATATTCTAGATAGCGTTTAAAAAATGCTATTGTTGGTTTATGTTTTATAGCGTTTCAAAAATGCTACATAAAGTTGTACATCTATCACAACGTTTATTAAAAAAACACCGTTAATTAAAACGCTATTGAAAGATACGATAGCGTTTTTCAGCCGCTATAGATGACTTTAGTTGGTGTAGTGTGAACAAGGACTGCCACACAATGCCTCATTTGGTAAATGAATACACAAATGAACTATGTCGTCAAAAAAGAAAGGAGGATATATCATTTCAAGCTTACACAAAATCAAACAAATATCTTCTCTCATCTTTTCCAAATGAGACCATTTCAAATTCTTACAACACAAGCGTTGGAAAAAAATAACCTAGCTTATCAACACGACAATCATGACTTTTCATTTCTGATATTTTATGATCACCTGACTTAATGCTTTGAGAGATGTTATAAGCATATCCGTCTGGAAATTTAATAAATTTTAGGAACTCGCAGAAATCATGTCTTTTTTATCATTACATAACATGCATGTGGCTTCTTATATTTCCCATCACCTGTATGAGTTACATGTAATTCATTGTGGATGTTCATGTCCTCCATGTCTCTTCCTGACTTAGATCTTCCGTTTTACGATCTATATTCATAAAGGTGCCCAATATACTCTCAGAAACGTTCTTCTTTATATGATTTACATCTAAATTATGCCTTAACTTTAGCTTGCTCCAATAAGGCAAATTATAAAAGATGTTGTGTTTAGTCTAATTCAATTCATGAAACACGCTTCCGCTTCTTACTATCATGTTTTCCTGGTGTCAAATTTGTTAATCTCTCTAATTGCATCATGACACCCTCCCCACTCATTTACGTAGGTGCCTCACTATCTTCTCTCTTACCATTAAACTTCTTGCTTCTTCTCCATGCGTGATCTTTGAGTAAATAGCGACGATGTCCCATGTAACATAGCTTGCTTCGTAATCTTTGAGAATATGTTCGTTCATTACAAAATGGACAAGCCATGTACCCTCTAGTACTCCATCCTGACAAATCCCCATATGCATTTGAAAATTCTTTTTGGTAGAAGCATCAAATATTTCAGCCCCGTCAATCCACAACTCTTTTAACTCTTCAATTAGTGGTTTTAAATAGACATCAATATCCTTTCCAGGTGAAGTAGGACCTGGAATCAGCAAAGACAACATCAAGAATGTTCTTTCATACAATCTCATGGGGGCAGATTCAATGGAGCTAAATTACCGGCCACTTGCTATAAGTTGAGCTTAAGTTTCCAAATGGATTGAAATCATCTGCAGCTAAAGCAAGGCTAACATTTCTAGGATCACTTGCAAACCAAGTAAACTCATTATCAAAGTCTTTCCATGCTTCAAAATCAGCAGGATGTCTCATATAATCATCATCATCAATACATTTCTCTTTATGCCAGACCATCTTTTCACATGTTTTTGTGACATGAAAAGGTGTTGCAACCTAGGTTTTAAAGTAAAGTACCTTAAAATTCTATGTGGTATCTTCTTCCCGTTACCATCATCAGTTTTCCATCTAGAGGTTCCATAAGTTGGCCAGCTTCCAAATTATTATTTTCCTTCCAAAATAGAACACAATCGTACTTACAAGCATGCATACATTCATATCTCAATCCCAAGTCCTGCAACATTTTTTGGCTTCATAGTAGGATCTTGGAAGTGTCTCACCATTAGGGAAAGATGACTTCATCAATTCCAAGATAATATCCATAGCTTTATCACTCAATTTATTGTACAATTTTATGTGCAACAATTGCATGATAAAAGATAACCTTGAAATATTCTTACAACCTGGATATAGTTCTGTTTGAGCATTACTTACCAATGCCTCTAGATATACCGGAAGACCACCACTATAAAGTTATTTTCAGAAAACATATTATCAATGTCATGTTGATCATATTGTTGGCCAAGGTCAAACAACATTTTATGAATACCATCCTCTTCTTCATTATCACTTTTTTGAAAATCACTATCCATTACATCATCTATTGTTATGTTCATTCCCAAAAGTTCACGAACTAGATGCTTCACCATGAGAAAACCATATATAATGTAGCCAGGATCTATTCCGGGCTCTAAAAGATGAGTTTTCACTGTTTTTTTAATCTTGAACTTTAGGTTTAAACAGCCTCTAGAGGGACATCTAAAATATCTAATGTGTCCCTCTCACCAATTAAAGGTTTCAACAAATTTCAAAAAATTGTTTACCCCATCCATAAAAACACTAGACCACTTAATTGCATGCATCCAATTTTTTTTCTAGAAGAAGAGTTGCTTTCTCACAAAAAGAAATGCTTATAAAAAGAAGGGAAAATTATCAAATAAGCCCTCGAACTTAAAAAGAAGTACAAAAAGTGCAAATCACCCTCGAGGGCTTATTTGATAGTTTTCCCTAAAAAGAATAGAATAAAATCTACATAATGCATATTTAAGTAAAAAGCACATAAATAGATGTTTCAGAAACTTATAATCAAGTAGTTGTACAAAATACATATATTTTAAAACTACCGCAACTAAAATTGATGCATAAACAACATTTCTTTGAGTAACTTTCTTATCAATCTCATGGTGGGAAAATAGTTGCTAAAGCATGAAAAAAGAATATTGGTCGCTAATATACATATACTCAATTATGCATGTGTGCAATTAGTAGCTCATACTGAATCAAACAACTTAATTACATATTGTGCATTCTAAATAGTTGACACATTGTCCATTAATGTAATTGAAATCTGCACAGGAAAAGTCATCTAGTAAACATAATAGTGAACACCATTATTTTTTATAAAAACAAATAAAAGTTTCTTAACACCATTATAACAAAGAAATTGTTAAAATGTTAGTTAAAAATACACAATAACATAGTAATATTGGGTTCTCTTGGAAATCGGTCGGGTCTATAGTTTTTCAAAAAAGAGTAAACGAAGAAAGTTTATAAACAAGTAATATATTGAGTTTCTTGGGACTTAACGTTGGACCAAAAGTCTAACAGAAAATACACAGACACACACACAGAAAATAAATAAAATTCCTTTATAATTTTTCTATAGTCATATCAAATAGATACTGTACATATGTTACACATGGATAAATTATGCTTTATTAGAGCCTCCAAATTACCTACAGCCATGATTAAAATCTCAAGGAGTTATCGTATCATCACTTGGAGAATGTCTTGACTTTCACTTATGTGTTAACTTGAACTGATTACCTTTCTTATCCTTTTTAACTTACCTTATCTTTCTATCTTTCTTTTCTTTTTTTTTACTTCAATATCACGTATTGATTTATGTTAGCCGACCTCAAAATCTTTTGGAACTAAGGCTTGAATCAGTTGGAATGAGAAGCAATATATAGTTGTATAGAGTGGTGAGAATTTCCGTTCATTTGTTTATTGCGATGTTTTGAGTTGTAGAAGTTCTGCATATATATTGTCTCTCGTGACTTTGCATAGGGAAAGATGAAACATGATATTGATTCAGATACTTAAAAGCGAAAACTAGTCAATTTCTATTGTGATAGATTGTATAAATAACTAAAATTACATTAAAACACGAATAAACTATTAAACTAGATGAGAAGCGGGTGCCCGCAACGATCGATCATATGATCTAGCATAAGGATGCAAATGTGTAACTTTATTTCTCTTATATTTGTGTAACAGTCAACCACCACTTTTCAATTGGCATAGGGTCTTGCTTCTCCGACATAAGAACGTGTTTAAGACTATTCACTTCTTTATACACATTGTTCTAAAACTCGCTAGGCACTAGTTGGGCGGTTGAGGGGCGCTTAGCACCTAGACGGCCGACTAGACCGTTTTTTTGGCCGACTAGGCCGATTTTTTGACCGACTAGGCCGATTAGCCCTCTATAGTTAAGGCCGTCTAGGCCGATTAATTGGTCCGCCTAGGCCGATTTTTAAAACAGTGTTTATTAAAAAGCGGAGTATATTATAGGTGAAGCAAATGTGTGAGACAAGGGAGATTTTACACGAGTTGTGCTTTAGGTACACAAACTTTGTACACCATCTATACACCATATATAAAGCCCATTATATTTACCGTTCATTACCCACTCCTTTTACTTTTCTTTTTCTCGTTTGATTTTTGTTTCTCCCCGGCCATAGCAGTCTCTCAAATCCCTAGCCGGCCAGAAATGCCACAACAGGTGAAGCCTTGCCTTTTTTGCCTTCGAACAAGTAGCCACAGCCACAAGAAGACGTCCGTGCACAGAAGAATTTAAGGGTCATCAGAGGATTTGGCCATGTGTGCAAGCAGTGAAGGTTTTGTGAGTGTTGACCGGATATACGAATGTTTCTTCCCTCTCTGCAACCTCTCCTACCTGCACCCTTCCCTTCCAGTATGCCCCTCTCTCTCCCTTCTTTCCTTTTTCTTCATTTTTTGTTATTTGTTTTTTATTTCATGTGTAATACTCCATTTATCTTGTTATGTAACAACTTTTTCCCTCTTTGCTACATCTCGTATCTGCCCCTTCCAGATTTGTGTGGTTGATTATTAAAATTTTAATTCAACTATTATATTTCACTTTATGCACATAAGGTGTTTGTTGAAATGATTGAATGAATATTTATTCATATCCATGAGTTTTTTGTTCATTCTTCTATTTTAAAAATGTGTTAGACTCTTCATTTTATTAAAATAAATTTTCTGTTTATAATTCAGATATATACGTAATACTTCAAATGAGATAGACAACGTGATTACTTATCTTTTATCTGTTCATAGTATTTGTAACTCGTAATGGTCTGTTTTTCTCTTTTGAGCAGCTTGAGTCTGTTAAGTTCAGCTGCTTCGCTCACGTGCAATCACATGTTCTGCTGTTCTGCAAGTATGTCTTTCACTCTCTAAAGTTCTATATACAGATTATGGGTTTTGGACTCCATCCAATATACTTTTTAAATTGCAGTTCATGTATCCACGCGTCAATGAAGTGTTTAGCCTATTGTCCAGTTTGTAAAATTCCTTTTAGACCTAGGGGTTTGTACTTTTATATGCGTTTTTTATAATAATGGTAAATGGTTTTGGTTGAATTAAAGTCATGTTTACTAACATGCATTGGCGGACTATGTTTAATGAGATATGAGCACAATTAGCATAATAAGTAGCCTCCTGTCATGCTAGATTCACTAAAGTAAATGGCTTCTATTTCTAACTAAACTTCTTGTCATTTGGACCATTTGCTTAAATACTATGTCTACACTCATCTTGAAAGGATTATGGTTATTGAACATACTGTAAATACAGTTCCAAAGTAAATAGAATTTCCCTAAGGTATGTTATGCATCTGTACCTCTGAGATCCCTAAGCTTTGAATTCCTTCTCTAAGCCATTGTTCGAAGTAGGTGATACATTTATTTGCCTCTTACTTCTTCTTTTTTTTTAATCTGCTTATAGAAGTTTTGTGTCATGATGTTTGAAACATTACTTGCCACTTCAGTTTGCCTTGACTTTTGCAATATATAGATTTTATAATGCGATTTGCTATCCTGTTATGAAATTCAAATTCTTATGGAATTTCACATTTGACTATTGCAGCACACTTCCCCTGGTGACCTAGCACAGAATACATGTTACAAGTTTGTTGAATGAAGATATTTATGAATCTAAAGAGGCACATTTGACTACTGCAGTGTACTAGTGCAGACTTGTTTTGTTTGTCGTTACGGAAATTGCATTTTTTGCGAAGATGAAGTAGTTGGCAGAAATAAAAGAAGCTCTTTTTATGACAGAGATGATGAGCCTCCGTGACAAAAGTCAAGAATGAGAGATTTATAATGAATTATAACTAAATATTTCATTCTTGTAATTAGTTATATTGTACAACTAATGTTTTTGTATTTACAATGATAGTATATCTTTTGTATTTTGAAAATGAATTTGAATTTTCGCGAAAGACATAATGTAACTTGGTTGAATAATTGGTTATCATGTATTCATTTTGGTATAAGTTGGTTGAAGAGCATTCAAAGACATGTTATAAGTTTGTTGAATAGCATTTAAAGACAAGCTCCACTTTAAATGATTAAAAAGGGATAAAAGATTTACTATTGATTAGAGTTATTTGTGAAGAAGATATGAATTTTTTGTCACAGACAACTATAACGGGCTAATGAATTAATTGAAATTGTGTGTGAATGAGATAATGAATTTACACATGTGATTATATGTTAATGAAGGATTAAAGTCATCTTTATGTGTATTGGCCACCTATTTGTCTGTATGACAAACATTTTATTCTACGAGGCAGACAACTCATTTTGCTAGACAAACAACGCGTTCTGTCACCCAAACAATTAGTGCTGCCAAACAGACAATTGCTTCCAATAGATAGACAGTTCATTCTGCCAGACACATTATTTTGATTAACTATTGTACTTTATATAGGTTTGGTCTGACGAACACATGCCTGAATGAAAATGTGTGGCACACACACTATTATATATCTTGAAGTAAACGTATCGCACAAACATATATGAAACGTCTGGCACAGATAAATATTGTCTGTTAGATAAAATTTTTTGTCAGGCCCAGAAACGAAATTTCTATCACAGACAAATATTGTCTGTTAGAAAGAAACTAGCGGTCAGGCCAATGGCATGTCATATCTAACTATTGTCTATCCCAGACATTTCATATCTTATTCACAAATAGTTCTACTTAGCATATTTGCCCATTTCGCAATGGCTATTGTTTGCGGTCAGACATTTCATATCTTGTTCACAGATAATTCTACTCAGCATATTAGTCTGTTTCAGTGGCTATTGTCTGTGGAAAGACACTTCATATCTTAGCATATTAGTCTGTTTCAGTGGCTATTGTCTGTGGACAGATATTTCATATCTTAGCATATTAGTCTGTTTCAGTGGCTATTGTCTGTGGACAGACATTTCATATCTTAGCATATTAGTCTATTTTAGTGGCTATTGTCTGTGGACAAACACTTCATATTAGTGCTGGACTCGGGCCGGTTCGGGCCCGGTTCGGGCCTGGGCCCGGCCGGGCCAGGAAAGGGAGGCCCGAGCCCGAACCGCCGGTGGCCGGTTCCGGGCCGGGCCGCCCGGCCTGAGTCCAGCACTACTTCATATCTTAGCATATTAGTCAGTGGCTATTGTCTGTGGACAGACACTTCATATCTAGTTCATAGACGATTCCATTTAACACATTAGTCTATTCCTTCTTAGCGCACACAACTGTTGATCATGTCTTTGAGCACTTTGTTGAATGGGGCATGTAATCTTTAAGAGAGTAAGGAAGAGTAAATATTTTTTAAACATGAAGATATAGTTGTCTATGCAGAGTCCCGTTCCTATCAGGAGCTCCTGAAGAGAAGCCCCGTGCGGACAAGCCCATCAGAGTGTCTTCCCGGTGGAATTTTTTGATGAAATTTTTTGAGCATGTTCCTCATCAAGTCTAGTTTGTTCATACCAAATTTCAGCTCAAAATTCGATCGGGAAGGCAGTCAAATAAATCCTGGAAACATACTGCACTTTATATGTGCGCAGAATGAGCCATAGTTTTCCAGGATTTATTTGACTGCCTTCCCGATTGAATTTTGAGCTGAAATTTGGTATGGACAAACTAGACTTGATTAAGAACATGCTCAAAAAATTTCATCAAAAAATTCCACCGGGAAGACCCTCCGATGGGCTTGTCCGCACGGGGCTTCGCTTTAGGAGCTCCTGATGTGAACTGCCCTCTGTCTATGCATAGGTTAAAGTTGTCTGTCTTCTAGCAAAAATTATCTTTATCTAGACGATAGTTGTATGTAATAGGAAAAAATATACTAAAATTGGGGCACTTACACATATTGTCTAGACATAGACAAATATAACACATTTTAAGTATATTTGCTAATTTAACATAGTCAACTACTGCATGAGCACAAACCACACGATAATAATAAGTGTTAAAAAGTAAATACAGAACCCTTTTGCAGGACAAAGGGGGTTAATGAGCTTATTGATAATTATCCATAAGATACGATGTATACTTTACAATAGCATAACTAAACAACATGCTAAGCTTTGGTTTTTCATAAAATAGGAAATTATGTATCTAATCCAGCTGAAGACAACTCAGACCTGCCCTCTAAGTTTAGTTGTTTTCAGAGCAACAATGTCCACTATTCTGCCATACTGTGAGAACAAACAATAAAGAGACCTTTTCAACTCTGCCAGAAAAGATCAAATTGCATCAGTTCCATATTGTACAGACCAAAAATAATTGTGGGGAAGCCTAAAGGGCAGGGGTCACGTATATGGAGTTGTAAAAGAATGTGATGCCCTATATATATAAATCTTATTGAACAACCACAAGAATGTCTAATCTCTTTGATGGACCAACCAAGGAGTTCTGCTCTAATACTATCCTACTCCAAAAAAAAATTAAGAGTAAGGTTTAACACTAAAGCTTCAAAAATCAGAATAGTGAATTTACAACACTATGCACAATTTAAAGTGGAAAATTATACTAGTAAAACAAAATCCAAAAGCCATAAAACATAAGAGGACATAAATAAAAAAATTCATTGAAGCATTTCAACAAACATGTCATTGGCATATTAATGACATAATATAGTTGGACTAAATTTTTAGGAATAAACATCACAAATCTATCATAATAACCCAAAATAATCAGCCATTCAACATCACACGTGAAATAAAAAAATAAATAATAAAAAATGGAGAAAAAGGAAAAGAAGAAAGAGACATACTGGAAGGCAAATGTGCAGACAAGAGTGGTAGCAGAGAGGGAAGAGGGATGACCTCCGTTCGTCCGAGTGGTAGCAGAGAGGGAAGAGGGATGACCTCCGTTCGTCCGAGCACTGTAGCTCCTACGTTTGAAACGAAAAAATTGAAAGAGAGAGTAGTTGAAGCTGAAGGAGAGAACCAGGCACCAGCTCCTAAGTTTTTCTATACTGATTTTGGTGCATTAGATTTTCAATCGGAACGGAGAAAGAAGAAAGATGAAGAGGGGCGAACGAGGGTAAGGGAAGGGCTGGGAGTCGCTGAAGGAGAGAAGGAGGAGAGAAAGTTGGAAGGGTAAAAAACTTGGTAAAAATGGAAAGCCTTTTATATGGTGTGCCAAAGGTGTACACATTTTGTGTACACCTAGCATTTTTGATTTTACACAATCATGTGTAAAATCTGGGGAATATAAAAAACAATAGCTCAAAACAACAAATTCCATCCATTATTACTCATTTTAGATTAGATAAAAAAAGAAGCAGTGTGTTTGTAAAAGTTATACTCCGTACTACATATATCTTCAAAACAGTGACAGAGGAAATGGGATGGTGAGAATATGCTAAAACCTCCAAAGAGGTCACCACTCTACTACAAGAACCCTACTTTGTTCACGTATTTTCCCTTTTTCGTTTATTAAACAACAATTACAGTTGAAAACTGAATTGTAAAGAGTCTTAAGTCTTCCAAATGGGTCGCCTCCTCGCCATTAATTGTCTATGTCTTCTCTTCTGTAGTTCTTCTCTTTTCCACGGTACTAATCATTGCAAGCTCTGACTAATTGATTTTCAGTTCATTCATCCTGTGAGTAAAGGTATTTGCGCTTTTACATTTTCGTTGAAATTTTGACGACTCTTCTTCTCTAATTTCTTCCACAGAAGTGCAGTCAACGATGTTCAAGATAGTGAACCAATGCCGGCATACAGTATGGCCTGGAATCCTGACCGGTGCTAACCGGCCAATACTCTACCCGACTGGATTCAAGCTCAGGAGTGGCAAATCCAGGACTCTTTCGGTGCCCGCCTCGTGGTCGGGTCGGGTATGGGGCCGAACATTCTGCTCCAATGACTCTACAGGCAAGTTCGTCTGTGTTACCGGAGATTGCGGATCCGGGAAGATAACATGTGCCGGAGGTGGCGCTATTCCCCCCGCCACCTTGGCCGAGTTCACCCTTAACGGTGACCAGGGCCTCGATTTCTATGACGTCAGCCTCGTAGACGGGTACAATCTGCCGATGCTGATTGTGGCAAAGGGTGGGAAGAGCGGGGGCTGCGCCGCCACCGGATGTTTGGTGGACTTGAACAGTGCCTGCCCGCCGGACTTGAGGGTGTCGCTTGGGAGAGGGAGTCGCATCGAGGGCGTGGCTTGTAAAAGCGCTTGTTTGGCATTCAACGATCCAATTTACTGCTGCAGTGAAGCTTACGCGACGCCGGACACTTGCCACCCGTCCGCTTACTCTCTCTACTTCAAATACGCTTGCCCACGATCTTACAGTTATGCCTATGACGACAAGACTAGCACCTTCACCTGTGTCGGAGCTGATTACTTGATCATGTTCTGTCCGCCACCTTATACCAGGTAATTGATTTACCTCACCCCCCCTCCCAGCCCTTCTTCTTTTCACCTATATATATTTGATGGCTTCATGTTGTGGGTGCAAATTTTATGTCTCAATTAGCTTTACTCTAATGCTTCTGCTTGGCCTTCTGGTATCATTGAAGAGAAATATTACAGTGCATACAGTGATACAGCATACATGCTGATCCTTTCCCTATAGTCTCTGTAGACCCAACTTTTCCTCAGATTGCTAGAAGAAACTTCCATTGTTTGATAGATATAAATAACATGTAATCTCAGTTGTATTTGACCAAAGAAAAAACATCTACTAGGGTACTATTTTTTTCTGGTTGAGGTGATCAGTGATCACATTAGTTTCTTATTTAATACACAGTAGTAGTATCGTGTGAGATTTTAAACATTTGGTTTCATTCATGGTGTGTGTAGACGTTTTACAGTTCAACTAGCTTATTAGGTGGTTTTAATCAGATTATGTAGATCTTGGTTGCAATGGCCTGACTTTATGTATTGAGCCAAGCTAGAGGTTCCGTAAAAACATGGATTGTAGAGGATAACTTCGTGAGGTAGTTGGCAATTGGGAGCATTTCCATTTCAGATTAGGATATAATGCTTACTCATTAACTAAAATCTGCTTCACCATAGTGTGTCAGTTTGTCACAACAAGTACGTGTTTTTGGTTTATCAAATCAAGTACACTCGTAGGAGAATGAGTATAGGACATTATAGTATTTTCGCGACTTGCACACTTGGAATTTATACATAGGCGGAGAAGGTTATACTCAGCCGGTTTTGTTTAATCAACTGTTTCACTGTACCTCAAGGAGTAAAAGAACAAGATTATCCTCGGGACCATGTGCTTTTTATTTGCCCGCCATTTTTAAATCACTTTGGTGAGCATTCAGTTGACTTTAGAATGAAAGTGCAGTTGCAATCAATTGTTCAAGTTGGCCATATTTATTTTATTTGGAAGAGAGAATATAACTTAACCAAACTGGGAAAGTGTCTTACCCATGTATATAAAGTATAGTTCATTTGTACATAAGACCTAATGCCCTTACTGCCCTTAGGTGGTATGACCTCTAAATGGGTAAATGCCTATGCTTCTTATAATCAAAACCAACTTCCTAACACTAAACTTTTGTGATAGTCAATTGGAAAGTGGGAAGGTAAAGGTTTGCTGTTTTGAATGCTCAAACATGCCAAGTTACCCATAGCACTCGCTCAGTTTTCAACATATTCCTTGTTGTGAAAATCCTTTTCTTTATGGGTAGCTGCTAAGATCTTCAGCAAACAATGCATTAAGAATGACTATGCTTTGCCGCAACGGAATGTTGAGTTGATTGAAAAATAAAAGTATATGAAAAGGAGAGGTGGAGGATGGCTCGTATTACATAAATAGTACTATTGATGATTGAAAAGTTCTAGAACTATTGTTGTTTCCAATGTTTTGACTGTGAGGCTTGTTTTCAGTAGTTAGTAAAATGTGAGAACTAAAAGGTGCCTTGTGCCCTGTGGAGACCATTTGTATAAGTTTTATTATATGTGACGGTAACATATAAAGGTGCATTATGTGTCTATACTTTCCTTTCTTAATTTGGCGATATTGTCATGTTTTTAAGTGTTGCTACCTTGTCTGTTTCCAATACGTGCTAAAAATGTTAACAAATTTAATTCGGTGAATAGAGGAAAGTGATAGCTAATTGATTTGCTCAAATATGGCTCATTGATTTTATTTTATTTTGATTTAATACCATCATTAGCTTATCATTTTTAGGGAATGATTTGTCTAGAGTCTAGTTTTTGTTATCCCTCTTTTCTCTATTTTATCTTTTTAGCTCCAATTTCTTATGTGGTTCATTTTAGCCGACTCCAAGCTCTTTCGGGACTAAGGCTTGTTGTTGTATTTGTCTAGAGTCTAGACTTCCTCCTTTCCTTGTTTTTGGTAATGACTATCATACAAGGTAACTGTGCTTTGCTTATAAAATATTCAAGGAAGAATTAAAAGAATTCAAGGAGAATGAAAACTTCCAATATTCCAAAGACTCTTTAGGGGCTTGTTTGGTTTTGAGGTTCCAGTGGGAAGGGCATTATTGAATTTTTATTTTACTAATTTATATCTATATGTTAGATCTACACTAGAAGTAAGTCAGTAACTTATATGATTCATTAACTGACTTAGGACATGTGTTTCTCTATAACTCTTTGTCTTCACTTTTTTGAACCATCTAAATGTAGCAATAGTTAAAAATAAGATTACCTATTCCCTCCCCTCTCTAATCCCCAAACCAAACAATCCTGAAAACTTCCATTGAAACTATTGATTACCCCCTTTGAATTGATACCCCTAATAATCCAGGTAAATAGCAAACTGGTTGGATTTTGAACTTTACAAGTTGCTTTTTATTATTCTTTATTTTTAAAGTGAATTGTTAAGGTTTCCAAGAAGAGAAACAATGTTAACATCAAATTTCATGGGAACTATGTTTTGCAGCCAGAAAGTGCTATCGGTACGAAAGCAGTATGCGGACTTGCCACTGGTTAATAAGACTATGATGTACCTCGGAAGGCATCATCATTCGAGCGGTATGTCTCCTCTTAGTATAAGCTTATGGTATCTTTGTTGTTACATGCATACATTTCATCTGATAATCATGTGACTAACCAATGGTCGGAGGTGCAGATGTAGGCCATTAGTAGTGAGGCACCTTCCCCCCCCCCCCCAATAATATATTTGTAATGGACTAAGAATATGAATAGAATAATCAAGTAATTTTTTTAGTTAAAAATAATTCGCAGAAAAGTTATGCTAATACCGTAAGAAGACTTCTTCATCTGCGTTCATAATAAACTAATTTAAGTTTAATTATGAAATACAATTACAAATAATAACACATTATTATTTTTATTGACTCAATCATAACAACAATAATATAATAATAAAAATGTTTTTTTAGTTGATGATTAAATGATTATTTAAATAGTAAAAAGTTGGTTAATTATCGAATATAAACAAGGTCTAGTTAGGCGTAAGAATGAAGTTGTGGTTCAAATTGGACAAGTCGTTTTACATTGAGAATTTTTTCATGCATCAAATCATTCAAATGATATAAAACATTTTAAAATATAATGAACAACTAATCATACACTTCCATTGTTCCGTAAAGAAGTTATGGCATTGACATTGATTTTTACGGTCTTCAGTATCCATATAGTTTTGTGTTTTTGTTACTTACATTATGTAGTATATATACTACAATAGTAGTCGTAAACTATTATTTTAATAATTTGTACTCAAACAAAAACTTCAGGGGTACTTTCACAGTATACATTCACTATTCTATGAATAATTAAATCTAAAAGTTCTCACTTAAAAAAAAGTTATACGTGATCAGTTGTAGGTTGCATGATAAACTCTAGTTCTGTGATCGAGATTATGCTCTCAATGAACACTTATGTTTATATGGCACTTCTTGGTTGGCGGTGCACTACTTCAGGTTGATTCGTGAAACAACAGCAGTTGAAATGGGGGTGCTACTAGCTAGTGTATGGTTCCTTGTCACAGTTGAAGTTTGTTTCATTTTGGGTTCATCATCTTGTAGATACAAATGACTGGATAGCACAAGCTTTCCTGGATATGATGGCTCAACTCGGGAAACAAGTACTTTTAGCTATGTAGGGCCACAACAACACCTTTTTGTGTACAGAAACAGGTGTTCCAAAGGGACACTCTCAGACCAATTTTGGGTTGTTGGGTAGGTCTATGATTTGGCTTATTACAACTGTGGTACAGAAAACTTATATCATCCCCTTCACGTCTTGTTTTTGTAGTTTGAACTATTCATAGTTTAAATGTTGCAACTAGTGCAATTAGCCCAAGTACACAACATATTTGAGCGCACTCAAACTCATTTCATGTGTAGCACGAGCTTGACCAGTTCAGGTTTCGAGGTCAAAGCCAACTTGAACTTGAATTATTTAAAGCTCGAGGTTACTCAATGAATGAGTTAGTGACTAATATCAATAGAAGTTTAGTGAAATTTTCACTCCTATTACAAACCAAAGTTTAGCTTTCAAGCTGACCCAAGTGTGTCTGGTTTGAACTTCAAATTTGAACACAAGTTCATTTTGCCAAATAAACGAGCTGGAGCCAAGTTTGGGTCAATTGTTTTGTATAGCGTTACAAGTAGACATTTTCATGGTTATGCATTGATTGATAATTTGATATCCTTTAGGCAATTAGGCCCATTTTAATTCTATTATATCTTTCATTTTAGATTTTAAGGATGGAGGACTCCAATCACTCCATGACTTGAAATTGGACTATAAATAAACTTCAACTTTATTTTCCGATCCTTCGTAGCGAATGATTTTGTACAATGGCTGCAGTCAGTGTGATTATAAATTATTGTTTTAAAGCATTACTAGTTTAGCACACGTGCACGGGAATATTTATCTCTATATATAAATGTTGGGAAACATATACGGGTATAATCTAAATATCTCAAACTTGAAAGAGTGTGATATTAGTACCACAAACTTGCACATGTAACATATATACCCTAATCTTTATATAAACAGTTATGTTGGTACCATTATACGTTTTTCTACAAATGTAATTTTATGATGTTAATCAAGTACATAATTTAAAATATACAAAGAATGCAAAGCACTTATCAAATATACAAAGTGGATTTGAGATATACAAAGTACATTAAAACATACAAAGCAGTTATTAGATTGTACCGGATTATTATTTATTTCACAAATGAAATTTTAGAATTATAATTGCATCCAAATAAAGTTTAGAGTATTTCGAATTATGTATTTATTGCAATAAATTTATATTTGTAAAAGACATATAATAGTGGCTAGGAAATAACTTTTTATATAAGTTTGAACTATATATATTTCATATATATGTAATTTTGCAATTTATCACACTCCATCAAAGTTTGGGGTGAGATAATTATAGTATTTCCCCTATAATATTTGATATAAACATATGATATTAGTTAAAGGAGAGCTATTCTTGTCCGGAATTTCCGGACAGGAGCCCCGTCCGGCCACCTCAATTTGAGGTGATTCCCGGTGGTATTTTTTGCTCAATTTTTTTTGTATATTCCTCATCAAGTCTAGTTCATTCATACTAAGTTTCAGCCAAAAATTCAATCGGGAAGGTTGTCAAATGATTTTTGCAAGTTAACTGGTCCGGAATATGTATATTCCGGACCAGTTAACTTGCAAAAATCATTTGACGATCTTCCCGGTTGAATTTTTTTCTCACATTTGGTATGAATGAACTAGACTTGATGAGGAACATACACAAACAATTTGAGCAAAAAATACCACCGGGAAGGCCCCCAAATGGAGGAGGCCGGACGGGGCTCCTGTCCGGAATATTGGATGAACTAAAGTATTGTACTCTTAGTTAAAGTATATAATAACCAAAAGCTAAATTGGTGATAATTGAATCCTTTGCGTTAATATTTCCCCTTTTTTTGGAACCAATTACTCCGTATATTGTACGAGTATCACATTACATAGAACAACTTAGTTGGGAAAGAGTGAGATTGGGCAATAAAAGTATATGAAATAATGTCAAAAATGATACCCAACCTTTTGAGTTGACAAAAATAGAACTGGATCTTAATTTGGACAAAAAAGGGACTCCTTCACGCTTTCCTTCACGCTTTCTCGTCTGGCTTACATACGGTCCATACGGACCTCTCCTTCACCCAGCCATCTTCACATACAACGACAGCTTCATCTTCTAATCGATCTCCTTGTGACGACAGCTTCAAATAGAGACGGAGGCGGCTTCAAATATCGACAGCGACTGATTTGAATAGCGGCGGCGACGGCTTCGGTTAACAGCGGCGGCGACGGTTTCGATTAACAGCGACGGCGACGACTTCGGTTAACAGTTGCGGCGACACCTCCTCTATATCCTTTCTCCTCCTTTCTTCTTTTCTGCAAACTGCCTCTGCTCTTATCGTCGTTGCTCGTAGTGTCAGATCTGGGAGTTGATGGTTGCTGAGGAGATCCGTCGTCGACCTTAGCAAATCCGCCGTCTAACCCTGCATAGATCTGAAATTGGTGGCTCTTTGAGGTAGGTAATGGCTCGTGGGGACGGTAAAGTGATGCCAGGTGGCTAGATCGAGGCAGTGGCGGGCTGGTAGGGGCAGTAAAGGGGATGTTGGTTGCAGCGGGATGTCACGGTTCCAGGGGTTGGGGCGGGGTGTGGGATTGGGATAGCAGTTCTGCATTGGAATGTGGCTGGGAGGCCAGCGGCAGGGTTACTGCCGGGGGAGGGCGGTGGAGCAGGGTGCGGTGGTCATCGGCTGTGGTCATTATTAGGTCACTGGGTTCGCGGTTGGTCATTATTGAGTCACGTAACTGTCGCTAGGTTTGGTTGGTCACTGGTCACTGGGTTCGGGTAACTGTAACTAATCGATCCGGATAACTGTAACTGATCGACCCGGATAACTGTAACTGATCGATCCGAGTAACTGTAACTGGCTAATCAGGTAACTGTAACTGGTCGATCTAACTATGTAACTATAACTGGTCAATTGGGTAACGTAATTGTCGAGTCGGATAACAATAATTGATTGGTCAGATAACTATAACTCGCGAATCAGATAATTGTAACTGGAGGATCATGTAACTGTTATTAATCGGGTTGGTCACTGGGTGAATTGGTCATGGTCACTAGGTGGATTGGTCATGGTCACTAGTCGGATTTTGGTCACTGACGGATTTTTGGATTTTTGGTCATAAATGATTTTTGGTCACTAATGATTTTGGTCACTGACGGATTTTTGGATTTTTTGTCACAAATGATTTTTGGTCATTGGGTGGATTGGTCATGGTCACTAGTCAGATTGGTCACTGGACGGGTTGACGTTGGTAACTAGGTAAAATTTTTGGTCACTAATGATTTTGGTCACTGACGGATTTTTGGATTTTTTGTCACAAATGATTTTTGGTCACTAGATGGATTGGTCATGGTCACTAGTCAGATTGGTCACTGGACGGGTTGACGTTGGTAACCAGGTAAAAAATTTGGTCACTGACGGATTTTTGGATTTTTGGTCACAAATGATTTTTGGTCACTGGGTGGATTGGTCATGGTCACTAGTCGGATTGGTCACTGGACGGGTTGACGTTGGTAACTAGGTAGAATTTTTTGTCACTAATGATTTTGGTCACTGACGGATTTTTGGATTTTTGGTCACAAATGATTTTTGGTCAGTGACGATTTTTGGTCACGATAATGGTTTTGGTCACTGTGGCGTTATTGTAGACTAATGGGTGAGATTCTATTAAAATAAGGGTATAATAGTCTCTTAACCCATTGTTAGTCTCATTTTTGGAAAATTGAAATAAAGGTCTCTTTTTTGTTCATAGCTCTTTTTTTAGTATTATTTTGGACATAACCCCAAAGTATATTTGGTGGTATCGTTTTTTGGCGTCTTATCAGTCAATTGTTTTACCAAACATGTTATTTTTTTGGATCATTAACTGAAGTTACTATATAGGATCGTTTAAACTATTTTCACATAGTTTTTTCTTTATTTTAAATATAAATATTTTAAATTTTATTTATAAATTATCAGAATCAGTCAATCTAGCAATTTTAGCAATAATTTTATAAATTTCAGCAACTGTAGCTCATTCAGTTAATTTTAGTGTTAACAAATGAGCTCTAAAGTTATACGTAAATCTCAATTAAGCTATTAAGCTTTCAAGCGGATCAAACAAATAAGCACTAAAATAACATTTTTGTCACTTTTACACCCACTAAAATATTTTTTTTCACCAATGAAAATCCTGTGTTTCGTTTCATTTTTAATATGGATATCTAGATTTTGATGTATTTAGAATGAATAGATATTCTAAGAAAGAAAATCACAAAAATGTAATAATTTTTAAAAAATCAATATATTTCAAAACTCCAAAACGTTGGTGTGAAATAACAATTATATTATTGAAATATCTTGAATTGCATTTGGTGTTCAATTTGGCCATTGTCCTATTTCTTCTTAAATTAAAACATTCCATATGTACCAATGTTAAATATACGGAGTAGTACTCATCCGTCCCATTTTGCACAATACAATTTCGTTTTTAACTTGTCCTAAAAAATGAACACCTTTTTCAATTGAATTTTACTAATAGTCAAGTACCTTGTGGTTAGGGGTGGACTCGGGCCGGTTCGGGCCTGGGCCCGGCCGGGCCACGGGCCAGGAAAGTTGGGCCCGAGCCCGAACCGCCGGTGGGCGGTTCCGGTCCCGGTTCCGGGCCAAACCGGGCCGGGCCGGGCCTAACCGGTTCTATTTTTTTTTTTGCTCTTCTATTTAACCCCCAACCCCTCCCCCTCAACCCCAAACCACCCCAAACCACCTCAAATGGCCCAAAATACCTAATCCAACCCAAAACTTAAAAAAAATTCAAAAAAAAAAAAATTAAAAACCGGCCCGAACCGGCCGGGCCGGTTCACCAAAAACTGGGCCCGAGCCCGGACCGCCCAGCAGCCGGGCCGGGCCGAACCGAACCGGTGGACCCACCGGGCCCCGGGCCGGGCCGGGCCAAACAGTAACCGGGCCGGGCCAAACAGTAACCGGGCCGGGCCGCCCGGCCCCAGTCCACCCCTACTTGTGGTTAGTCATGGACCTGGTCCGGTCCGGGCCTCCTGTTTGGTTATTTTTTTTCTTTCCTAACCCCCCCCCCCACCCCCACCCCCCAAAACCCCCAAACCCCTCCTAACCATCAAGCCCAACCCGGGTGTATCCCAAAAAATGAAAAAAAAAATCAATTAGGCCCGAACCCGGGCCCGACCCGGCCGTGCCGGTTCGCCAAATACAAGGCCCGAGCCCGGACCCCCCCCCCCCCCCCCCCCGCCTAGGCCCGACCCAGACCCGAGAACCGGGCCGGTCCCGGGCCGGGCGGCCCGAACCGGGTCCATGACTACTTGTGGTCTGATGGCATCATTGTGGCACTCCCAAAGAGGAGGTCACTGGTTCGAATCTCATCTCAGTTAAGGGATGTTGGCATTAACATTGAGCATGTACTATATATAGGTTAGAAAGAATGATAAAAAAAATGAATTTTACTAACATTTTATTTTCTCATTTCACCATTTACTTTTTTGAATTCATTTCTCTTTATTACTTTTTGTAAATTCATTTCTCTTTCTTACCTTTTTGAGGTTGTAATTATAAAAAAATTATTTTATTCTTTACTCCGTATTTCTTAAAACCCATACAAAACTCACATACATCTTACATGAGAAGGTAGTACAATATTATAAAAAAAAATGAAGTATGTTGTCATACTTTACGATGTGTGTATGTGTTCATAT